TGTGGATAAAACATGTAAAAGCTGAATTTAAATGACCTTAATTGGGCCTTTAGAGGTTAAGATGGAAACCTATGGGGTTGCCTGTTGGCCAGGCCAGGTCTAAAGGGTGGAGTGGGGTGAAGTCTATGCACTGGAGTATTATGTTCCCTGATAATCTATTTCTAGCGGTAGAGGCTTTTTGTCATTTTGGGGCCATACTCTATGTTCTCTTTGGGGAAACACCCTACTCCACTTTCAGTCCAACCCTCCCATCTGTTTTGGGCAGGACTAGTTTCAGTTCTTTCATTTGAAGCCGAAAGGGTTCAGACAAATTCTGACTTTTGAGGTTTTGCAATCGGCAAACACAGCTGCAATGAGGAACTAGCTGCTCCCATTCAAGCGCTTTGACTGGGCTTTGATAGAAATATTGCGCCCTCTTCTGGCAGAGGATTAGCATTGACCAGCTCTCAAGGACGATGTGACATAAAGCATTTCAGAGCCAGTCCTGGAGTCAAGGTCTTTCTCTTCCACACGCAAGCTGTTTTGCCTTGCTTAAGTAATGTTACTTCTATAAGTCTGCATTTTTGTATCTTAAAAATATTAATGTTAGAAACTACCTTTCAAGGCTCTTTGATGAGTACATAAATGGCTATGTGAAAGGTACCTAATCATTGAAAGATACTATTATAAGACAGTTTTGGAGAAGAAAGCCAGCCTGTTTATCAAGTTTTTTCATGGTTCTAAAATATGATATTCAATGTTATTGGTTCTCTGGAGATAAGAAAACGTACATATATTGTATCAATTTAAGAAACTATTGTTATGTTGTAGAATGTGGTCCCAGCACGTTGGGAGGCTGACAGGAGGATTGCTTGAGTCCAGAAGTTTGAGACCAGTCTGGGCAACATGGGGAGACTGTCTCTACACACACACACACACACACACACACACACACACACACACACACACACACACACAATTATTATTTGGGTATGGTGGTGCACTGACTGTAGTCCCAGCTACTTGGGAAGCTGAGGTGGGAAGATCACTTGAGCCTAGGGGGTCAAAGCTGCAGGGAGCCATGATTGTACCACTGCACTTCAGCATGGGCAACAGAACAAGACCCCATCTCTAAAAATATAAAGAAAATAAAATAAAATATAAGCACTATATATATATATATATTTCCTATATATATATATATATATGAACTACAAGCAAAGTCAAAAGACAAGTGACAAATTGGGAGAAATATAATTGCAACACATGTCATAAAGAACTAAACTTCCCAATTGACAAAACACTCAAAAATTGAGAAACAGATTCAGACACACCAAAACCCACAGGTGCCCTTAAACATATGAACTTCATGTTTATGGCAGAGAAATTCAAATTAAATTTACAATGAGGAAGTTGTTTTCAACTTTAGTGTATGTCTGGAAAAGCTCATAATAAATTACTGAGAAAAAATTAATATATTTCTCATTATCAGCTTGGCACACATTCTGAAGCTTGAAAACACATCTTTCTGTGATCAGCTGAGGGAAATGCAATCTCAACTGGGTATTAGATGATTTCATTATTGTATGAAAGTTAAATTTCTTGGGTCTGACTATGGTTATGCAGGCATGTATACATGTCCTTAAGAAATACATGCTATGATATTTGGGGCAAAATGTCATGAAGTCCACAAACCTACTTCCAAATACAACAGCTTGACAAAAGTGTGTGTGGTTTTTTATTCATTTTCAAATTTATTTCTTTTATTTTTTTGACTATCTCAATAAAAGTTTATTCACAGACATTGAAATTTGAACTTCATGATTTTCATGTCACAAAATACATTTCTAATTTGTTTTCAGCCACTTTTAAATGTAAAAATCATTCACAGGTCATATGTCGGGCAGTGGACGGGACTCAGACACAGGCCATTTTGCCAACCCTATCCTAAGTGAAGGTACCAACGGGGCCAACCCTAACTTCTCCTAAAACCAAGACTTTCAAAGCGGACTATTATCAAGAGCATGCCCTGTGCCAGATGACCCAGAAATGTCAAGGAGGTCAGGCTGCTGGGAGAGGAGGGCAATGGTCTGGCACGGCCCCTCTGTTCTGAAACCTTTGGCCCCCAGCACTGTGACATCCAACAGTGTGGGAAATCATCCAACCTTGACTTCCAGTCATTTAGTTCTGTCCTTGAGGATGCCTGATAATGTTTTGAGTGCAGACATTGTATATGAAAAACTGTAGAGGCTCCAGATGATGTCATCTTCCTCTAGAGTGAATTCACTTTATCCTCTGTTAGGCAGTGGGGGTTGCTCACTTTAATCAAATTGGGGATTTGCCTGAATTGAGGCTGGACCCTTTTATATGGAGCCCACCAAAGGTTTCAACTGAGAGCCTGAGTTGTTTGCCAAGTTCCTTTCCTCTGCTGGATCATCAACTGTACTCAGTGTGTCCTCAGTAGTTTGAGACCGGGCAAAAACTCCTTTGCTTCTTAGAGGCTCTCGCTTAGCTCTTAGCCACCAATCCCTCAGAGCTTCGGAATTTAGTAAATATCTTGAGGAGAAAACCAGCCATATGTCAGATAATGTCTATAAAGCACTTAGCATAGTGTTGGCAATAGGAGAGTATGCTAGAAATGGGTTGTTGAAAGAAACAAACATAGGCTATATGGAAAAATGTCTCTTTCAGTGAAGAGATTTGCTGATTACCACCTCAACCAAAAGGTCAGACTTAACCATCTTGTATAGTAGAACAATCAGACATTATGAGCTTCTTATGTGATACAATGAGAAGTGTATTTCATCACTTGCAGTATAAATGCTACGTAGTATAATTGCTAAATATGTTTTACCTAAAACTTTTTTTTTTTTTTTTGAGATAGTCTTACTCTGTCGTGCAGGCTGGAATGCAGTGTTGTGATCATAGCTCACTGAAGTCTTGACCTCCTGGGCTCAAGCAATCCTCCCACCTCAGCTTCCCAGGTAGCTGGTACTACAGGCACCCACCACCATGCCCAGCCAATTTATTTTTAAAAATTTTTTTGTAGAAATGGGATCTTGCTACGTTGCCTGGGCTGGTCTTAAACTCCTGGGCTCAAGTGATCCTCCCACATTGATCTCCTAAAATATTGGGATTACAGGTGTGAGCCAGTGTGCCTTACCTTCTGAATCAAATTATGAAGACAGAATCAGATAAATAAACCACAGAATTTTCTATAAGATAACCAGTCTCAATCCTTAGAAAAATAGTCAATATCCTAAAAAATAAAACCAAAGCCAAGGGATATGTCTGGTTAAAAGAAATTAAAGAGACAAGAAAAACTCAGATGCATGTATAAATCTTTTTTTGCTGCCTGCATTCAAAAAAAGAATACATAAAAGATATCTGGGGGCCACTGGGGAATTTAAATATGGATTGTAAATTACCTGGTATTATTGAATTGATATAAGAAATTTTTGATGTGATAATGATATGGCATACGGGAGTGTATCCTTAGGAGACACATGCTGAAGTATGTAGGGAGGAAGCATAATCAAGTCTGCAACTTGTTTTCAGTGTTTCAGCAAAAATAAATAACAAATAAAACAAACCATGGAAACATGTTGTTAACAACTTGTATTTCTAGGTAGAAGGTGTACAAAATAGTGGTTTGTCAAATGTTTTTACTTTTCTGTGGGTTGAAATTTTTCAAATGAAAAACTTGGAGGAAAATGCTTGGCTGTTCCATCTAAGTTATTTATTCTAAGTTTCTGAATTCATACCGTAAACATTTATTGAATACCTACTATGTATGAATATATTTTGTAGGTGCTGGGAAGTGGTGATGAAATAGATGGATAAGATCATTCTCTTTCAGTTTCCCTCATCCATAAAATAGATACAGAGTAAGCATACACCATATAAGCACAAGAAGGCATTCAATGAATGTTCACAGTTATAATTAATCAACTTTGTCCATTGTTGATCTTATTTCATCAATTCGATATTTTCAGTCTTGAACTAAATAAAGATGTATGATATTCTATCTTATGTATTCTTCCCAATCCATTTCCTGAAGTTACTACTCATCTTACTTTTGTTAATATTATTAGGTCATTTGAAGTCTTGGAGAGAATGTATGATATGAAGTCAAATCGAAGGTGAAGTTAAAGTGATCAGGGGTATGTTACATTTTTCTTTTCGTTTCTCTTGAGACAGGGTCTCACTCTGTCACCCAGGCTGGAGTGCAGTGGTGTGATCACAACTCATTGCAGCCTCAGTCTCCTGAACTCAAGCAATCCTCCCACCTTAGCCTCCCCAGTAGCTTGGACTACAGGCATGCACCATCAACTGGCTGATTTTAAAAATTTTTAGTGCAGACAAGGTCTCACTATGTTGCCCAGGTTGGTCTTCAACTTCGGAGCTCCAGTAATCCATCTGCCTCAGCCTCCCAAAATGTTGAGATTACACGTATGAGCTATTGCTCCCAGCCATATTTTTAAAATTAGGTTTGTATATATGCAAGTATCCTTAGGTCAAAAGTATATATTCACAGAGATTTTATTGATGATTATGTTCTGGTTTAAGATTGGGTTATAAACTACAAGAAACTAAAAAAAGATTTCTGAATTTATTTTTCTAAATACTAGATCTTAAACTGATTAAAAACACTGGAAGATTCTTAAGACTCTTCCCCAAGAATCTTGCTTCTTGTACACAGAGTGCACATTTAACATGTTATTTTATCTGTGAGTAAGAACCCTCCTTCCTTCCATGCCGCTCTACCCACTCATGTCTTCAGATGCTAATGGCTTGGCCTGATAAAGGCATGGTTCATTCTAAGCCCATACCATAAAATTTTCCAGTAAGTTCCAAAGGTTTCCTTTCAGTGTAGACTGTGATCATAGCACATAATTTATTAAATAAAGAATTATTTTAGTTCAATAGTACTTAAAAATCGAAGCTACTGTTCATTCATATAACTTGCAAATGTAATACTTAAAACTGATGGAAGTGATTCAATAATTCAAAATAATAAGTGATATTTTTGAGATTAAGTTTATTTTCAAGTGTTCAAAAAAAAATAAAACAAAACATTTTCATTTTCCTATTTCCCTCTTACAGGTTTGGAGAAGACTGGAACAATTATTCATATATTTGTATTACTATCAAGCATCCCATATAACTCAAGGATTATACACTGTATTTTGATATGATCTTATTCACTAACAATATAGTAAATTATTTTTATACATTCTGGGTAGGATTAAAATAAATAACAACAGAAATAATTTAACAAATCTTTATAAAACACCTACGGTGTCCCAGGTTTTTAAGACACAAAAATAAATAAAAAATGGTCCCTGCCATTAAGAAAGTCACAGTGTAAAGGGGCAGACACACAAATAAAATAGACAATTTAATGTAATATGACAGCTTTGAGAGAGGTCTATACAAAGAACCACAGGAACATTTAATAAGTCACTTAATCCAGAACAGTAGTAGTTCTAGATCGCTTCCAAGCCAAGATGGTAAGTTTTACAATAGATCTTGTGAAGAAAGGAATCAACAATGGGTATTATACCAGGTACATAAAACAGCCTGTGCAAAGGCAGAGAAGTGATAAATTTTTATGAAATAGTTTTGTAAGACTGAACTGAAAGATATAGGGTGGGACAGTTGTTAGAGAAGAGGCTTGAGAGGTAAGTCAGTCCACATCATTAAAGGTCCCACAGGCTTTACTAGAGAATTTTGATGTCTACCTGAATGTAGTCAGGTGTTTAAGTTAGGGGTGACATGCTAATTTGGGGTTTAACAAAGATTATACTGCTAACAGTAAAAGGAAGGAACTGGAGGCAGGAACACCAGTTAAGAGGTTATTTTAGAAATCCCAATTTTGAATAAGGACAAGAATTAAGTAATGAGGCAGAGATAAAGATGGAGATGGGGTGAATTACTTAGATATTCAGATGATAAAATCAGTAAGAACTGACTTGACTGGACATGGAGAATGATGGAGGAAAGTAAAATATGTTGATTTTTTTAACAGGACTTACCATTCACTGAGATAGGAACTAGAGGAAGAACTACTTTTATAAGATGACAAGTTTTAATTCAGGTGTTTATAACTTTGCTAAAAATCCAAAAGACAGTAGCATATGTATTTCTGGAACGTCTCCAGGAGATCTGATGTTGGGACACGAACATGGACATCATCAGCACCAACAATGGTAGCTGACCCAGGAGTAGTAGATGGGATCACCAAAGATGTCAGAATATAGAGACGAGAGGACAACAGTCAGAACCTTGGGGAACACTAATATGTAATAAGTAGATGAACAAAAGTGAGCCTTTGGAGGAAACTGCAAAGTCTGGTTAGAGAAGGGAAAGAAAAGTCCAAGAGACTGTAGTCCCAAACCATGGAGGAGAGTTTTTTAGAAGTACTTGTGAGTGTCAGTGTGAGTGTTTATGTGTGTCAAATATATTAACGACTGAAATGCATCCAATGGATTTAACCATTAAGTCACTTGTAATTTGGATAACAACAGTTTCAACCACATGGAGTGATGGCCATATGATAGCAGGTTGGTAAATGAATGACTGGTGAGGAAGTCAAGAGTAAAATCCAAGATACTAATGTAAGTCACAAGTACTACATTTTAAACATAGGCAAAGAAATCACATCAGGTAGGGCTCCCAGTATGATGCCAAAACTCAATTTGAATTAGTTTAGGTAAGCAGATGAGGAATGGCTGGAACCAGGGTGTGGAATAAAATGAGACCTCTTTCCCTGCAACTGTTCTCTCTCCTGGTGGCTCCATATTCTCTTACCTAAGATCCATTTTCTTTGCATGGCAGGGAACAGTTTCATTGGCAAAGAGGAAAGGGCTTCTTTCTTCCAACTTATGGAAAGGGTGGACTGGATCATGTTTCCACCCTGAGGCTAAACACAGAGGCTGTGAAAGACAGGATAATGTTAAAAAAAAAAAGCCCACATGTGTAGTAGGTGGTTGGAAGTGAGATGGGTGAATCTCTCTAATTAGGGTAACTTCTATTAACAGATGATGGTGATAGATAGTAAGGGGGTTGGACAAAAATAACCCACATCCATTACAAATAAAACAGCTAAAAATATGTGTGCATATACTATTGTACACAGATGCTATTCAGCAAGATGCTTATAGCTTTAATTTTTTCCCATATTTTGAAAATTTCAAAGTGCTTTCTTATCTTTTATGAAATAAAATTAGTAGGATATCTTTCTTTTGTTAAGAGAAGATGGATGGAAGAGAATGCTGTTGAGTCTAGAAATTATATTCTATGACTATCAGTGGAATTAGGAAGAAGATCTAGGAAGAGACAGGCTAGCAGTCTTCAAATATCTGGCAATCGTAAAGGAGGAGGACTGAATCAGCCTGGTTCTAGAGGGTAGATGTGGGGCTAGAAGGCAAACATTACAGAGAAGTGGTATTCAGCTCAATGAGGAAGAAATTCTAATGCTCAGAGCAAGCCTAGACTACAACTGTACTATTTATTCTGTGACATATTGGAGGTTCTATTAGAAGTACAGGATTTGAGGTTGGGCTGGCTGACTGACAGTGTTCCTATTGAGAAAATTACTAGATAATCCTGGAGACTTGACTGCCTCATTTTCACGGCCTCTTCCAACTCTGAGAAGATAGTAGGAGACAATTAATTATCTACTGCTTGATTCAACATAGGAAATTTGCATATAATGGGGCATCTTTCTAATATTTGCCTATCTGTTAAATACTGGTTTTCTGCATTCTTATATTTAATGCTATAGAGAACGCTTTTTAAAAAGAAAATGCCATACTAACTAAAGCATTTTGTAGACACTTTTTACATGGTGTTGAATACAGATTCAGAATAAACAATTTGTATAGTGAATAGTATATTATCTGTTTTTATGAAAAAGAGAAACAAAAGTTAAAATGAAAAAAGTTAGCTGGGCACGGTGGCTCATGCCTGTAATCCCAGCACTTTGAGAGGCCAAGGCGGGCAGATCATCTGAGGTCAGGAGTTTGAGACCAGCCTGACCAACATGGTGACACCCTGTCTCTACTAAAAATAAAAAATAAGCCATGTGTGGTAGCATGCGCTTGTTGTCCCAGCTACTTGGGAGGCTGAGGCAGGAGAATCGCTTGAACCTGGGAGGCAGAGGTTGCAGTGAGCCAAGATCTTTTCACTGTACTATAGCCTGAACGACAGAGTGAGGCTCCATCTCAAAAAAAAAAAAATTTAAAAAGTAAAAATAAAAAATATAAAGTTAAAGGTTCCTAAAAAGTTATAAACTTTAACAAAGACTAGTGTTAAGGATTCTTTAGAATAACAGTTTTCTTTCTTTTTATTATGGAGAAAACAAAAAGGAGCAAAAACTCCTTTGTCAGAGCATCTAAGAATAGCACACTAGATGGTGCTATAAGGCTGTCAGAACGAGTTTTACCAGGCTAGTGTGGCAGCTCTGATGGTAGTTATGTGTTCTGGAAACTTTCCACATACTTTCAGCTCCTGAGAGCCATTCCAGGTTTACATAAGCTCTAAGATCACATTAACTTAAAACAAAACCACAGGCTTAACACATTTAAAATAGTTTCCCTATTGAACATTGCAATCTGATTCCACTGAAATGGAAATGTTAAAGTGGTTAAAATGCCAATGTATTAATTTAAATGTATTGCTATTATTTTTACTTAGCTATTCTTCCCATGAGCATCCCCTAGTTATATCTACCACTTAATGAATCTTAAGTTTCAAGTGGCTTCCTGAAATTCTGAATTATCATTAAGCTGAACATACCAGTCACTCTTTCATTTAGTATTGTGAATATATTATCATAAATGCATGAAATATTATATTTTGAAATCATTCTATTAGTATATTATTTTATAAAAATAACATTTTGCCATACTGCCCAAAGTAATTAATAGATTCAATGCTATCCCCATCAAGCTACCACTGACTTTCCTTACAGAATTAGAAAATACTACTTTAAATCTCATGTGGAACCGAAAAAAGAAAAAAAAAAGACCATATAGCCAAGACAATCCTAAGCTAAAAGAATAAAGTGGGAGGCATCACACTACCTGACTTCAAAGTATACTATGAGGCTACAGGCTACAGTAACCAAAACAGCATGTTACTGATACCAAAACAGATATAGAGACCAATGGAACAGAAGAGAGGCCTCACAAGTAACGCCACACATCTACAACCATCTGATCTTTGACAAACCTGACCAAAACAAGCAATGGGGAAATGATTCCTTTATTTAATAGATGGTGTTGGGAAAACTGGCTAGCCATATGCAGAAAACTGAAACTGGACTCCTTCCTTACACCTTATACAGAAATTAATTCAAGACGGAATAATGGCTTAAATGTCAGACCTAAAACCATAAAAACCCTAGAAGAAAACCTAGGCAGTATCATACAGGACATAGGCATGGGCAAAGACTTCATCACTAAAACAGCAAAAACAAAGGCAAGAAAAGCCAAAATTGACAAATGGGATCTAATTAAACTAAAGAACTTCTGCACAGCAAAAGAAACTATCACCAGAGTGAACAAGCAACCTACAAAATGGGAGGAAAATTTTGCAATCTATCCATCTGACAAAGTTTGCAATCGATCCAGAATCTATGAAGAACCTAAATAAATTTACAAGAAAAGAAAAACCCATCAAAAAGTGGGTGGAGGATATGAACAGACATTTTTCAAAAGAAGACATTTATGTGGTCAACAACCATAAGAAAAAGGGCTCATCATCACTAGACATTAGAGAAATGCAAATCAAAACCAGAATGAGATACCATCTCATGCCAGTTAGAATGGCAATCATTAAAAAGTCAGGAAACAAGAGATGCTGGAGAGGATGTGGAGAAACAGGAATGCTTTTACATTGTTGGTGGGAGAATAAATTAGTTCAACAATTGTGGAAGACAGTGTAGCAATTCCTCAAGGATCTAGAACTAGAAATATTATTTGACCCAGCAATCCCATTACTGAGTATATATCCAAAGGATTATAAATCATTCCACTATAAATACACATGCACACATATGTTTGCTGTGGCACTATTCACAATAGCAAAGACTTGGAACCAACCAAAATGCCCATCAATGATAAACTGGATAAAGAAAAAGTGGCACATATACACCAAGGAATACTATGCAGTCATAAAAAAGGATGAGTTCATGTTCTTTGCAGGGGCGTGGATGATGCTGGAAACCATCATTCTCAGCAAACTAACACAGGAACAGAATACCAAACACTGCTTGTTCTCACTCATAAGTGGGAGTTGAACAATGAGAACACATTGACACAGGAAGGGGAATATCACACACTGGGGCTTGTTGGGGTGGGGGCCTAGGGGAGGGATAGTGTTAGGAGAAATACTTAATGTAGATGACGGGTTGATGGATACAGCAAACCACCACAGCATGTATATATCTATGTAATAAACTTGCACGTTCTGTACATGTATCCCAGAACTTAAAGTATAATTTAAAAATATTTAAATATTAAAAAATAACATTGCATGATTTTTCCACATTACAGTAAAACCAGAAAAATATTTTTTACTAAAGTGCAAAACAAAAATAAAGCTTTACTTTTATAATATTTTCTATTTCCTCTTCTTTTAAAAAGGCGAACAACAACAAAATGAACAAATAAAGATATTACTTTTGCAACCTAAGAGTCATTTGAGTTTTAAACTCTCAAAGACCTGAGATCTGTTTGTGAATTTTTCCCCCTTATCTTTCCAGTTCTGCTTCTAGAATTTCCCCCCATGTATCTGCATCCATTGGGTACATGATTTTTTCTGGTAGGCTAATGGAAGAACAAATGTTGCTGTATCTGCCACTTAGCCATTCGTGTTTCACTTTACTCTTCTGGTAATTCCTCAGGAGTATTACCTGAAAGAGATAAATTACCATTAAAAAAGACTATAGTAGGTGGTTGTGTTTAAAGCTAGACAAGGGGATTGACAGGGCTGAAAAAAAAAGAATAAGCCTCTACATTGATATACATATATACTAATAAATTTGTGTATGTGCATACTTGTGTGCATGCATATGTGTATTTATAGAGTGGGCCACACTGTTTACTGGGGATTTGGGATAAGGAGAAGTGAAAAGAAGGAGCTAATTCCCTTCTGGTCAACAGAGGAAAATTCCTGAATTTAGAATGTAAAAAATGCAAAAGGATAAATGAAAGATACTGTGGAAACAGTGTGGTTAGCAGGAAAAGACTATTAACTTTAACTGGTTTCCGAAAGTCAATACAGTCTCTATGTTATTCTGCATATGCAATTCTGTGTCCTCCAAGCAGCAGAAGTTATAATTGGTTCAAAATCATGACACTGCTATCATGATACTGTCAAAAACACTGCAGATTGCAAAGATTGAACTTACCCTCCAAGAATAACCACTTTCTAGATCATCATCTATTTCTCTCCGGCACACAGCTCTTAGAGTCATGCAGTGAGGTTTCCATAAAGAGTCATTGTTTCTTACTGTGTCATTCCAGCTCCTGCATGTCAAGGAAGCCCTGCACAAACTCCGCATGTCCAGCTGACTGAAAATTTTTAAACTGATTTCTTCAGGCAGCAGGTCAACAAAGTTGTTTTGACTCTCATGATTTTCCTTCTCAGCATCCACAGAGTTTGTGTCTGTGAGAGAAACTCTTGAATTATTGCTTCTCTTGGAGTTTTTCTGCATAGCTTAATGTTTTAGTAAATTATCCTCGCATGTAACCTAAAAGGCAAAATTTAATCATTCTTAGTCTCCAAATAGGGCTATAAATCCTACTTTGAGCCAGATGCTTTTTGGGTATAATTTAAGAACTCTAACTTTCTTGACTTTAGTGTCTCAATCTATAAAATGGGCCAATGCTGCTCCTCTCCTGAAAGTTCTTGCAAGGATTAACAGGGATAATGTGTAAAACATCTAGTCTTGCTACATCTTTAGTGCATCTGGGCGGCACTCAACATGTTAGTTTCACTCTCACCCAGGCTGGAGTGCAGCTGTGTCAGCATAGCTCACTGCAGCCTCAACCTCCAGCCTCAAGTGGTTCTCTCAACTTAGTGTCCCCCACACCTTTTTTTTTTTTTTTGAACAAAACAAAACAAACCACCAAAAACTTTTTGAGAAATTGTTCTTGCTATGTTGCCTAGGCTGGTCTAGAACTCTCATCCTCAAGCGATCCTCCTGCCTCGGCCTCCCAAAGTGCTAGGATGACAGGCAGGAGCCACCACACCCAGTACTTTTGTATCTTTGAAAATGTATATGAGTCAATCCTATTGAACTTCTAAATACTTGTTGTATATGGGAACTGATGCCTTGTCATTAAATTTTTGATTTGCAATTTGTGACTTAATCATAAACCTGCTGGACTTCTAGTTGTTTATATAATAATGTTATCTACTTGTATGTAATGGGTAGGTAGGTGCTTACATTTGACACAAATACTATCTGAAATGGACTAGAAGATGAGATCTGGGTTAGGACGCAAAGTCACGCAAAGTCTCAAATATCCAACTCAATTATTAGTATTTTAGAAATGACCCCTTTAGGCTATTCTACATGCATAGTTAATTAAGAGTTAAGCATAACAGTCACTGAAGCCATCAAGCAACAGTGAGTGACAACTGTAAACAATGTTTAGAATTCAGCTAGGTGTAGCCCGTGACTATTTGAAGCCCAGATTTAAAGCTCAGTTTCAGCTAATGTACCTAAGGTGAACGGTGCAGTTTTCTCAAATCAGTTGAAAGCATGACTGGGTACGTCATCATTGAGTTACTTTTGTATACAAAGACAGCTTGTACTCACTTAAAATCAGTTTATTCCATTTTGCACTTCCTTTTATAATGGGGGTTGGTTGTGCAACAGGAGGGGTTTGAGATAGAGCTAAATACTTCTTTTAATTCAATAACACAAATCTCTTTTGTAGATGAACTACTCAGCTATATGTTTCTGGACTTGTCAAGACCATGATGGCTCCCATTCATGAGGTTGATTTATGATCCAGATTAGCTGTGGTGGCTGGAACTGTTGTCTGTGTTCAACAGAGGTCTTCTTCTTGAGGGTTTGGGGAAGGAAGAAAGCAAACTGGTAAAAACAAGTGTGAGTCAAGAGCAAGTTTTTGCCACATACTTTGGCCCCTCCCACCTTCAATACAAACCAAAGCCAAACCACCAGGTTCTTGAAAATCTCACATTAGGAAGAAGTTACAGTGTATTTAAACGTTACAGTGTGTTTATCCACTTCTTCCAGGATCTTACCAGGGGAATCAAATGCCTCCCCTTGTGGAATTCCCTTAACGGGAATGAAGGCTTTTGAATTTCATAGCAGAAGGTGCCTTGGCGAAGTTCTAAAATCCCACCAGGAATCTTTCTTCTATGTCCAGGTTCCCTGGATGCCTGGAAGCGACTCCTTTTTTTTTTCCCCCTTTCTCCTTTACGAACCGAGCTTTGCTGAATTCTCTCTCAAGGGAGGTAAAAATCTCGTTCCCCTTTCAACTGTCACTCGGAGGGATGGATCGGAGGCAGCGCAGTCGAAGGAGCTGGGAGCCACATTTGGTCCAGATCCCGTGGGTCTGAGCTAATCACCCCACGTCCCATCTGGGCCACCCTCCTTGTGTCCCGCGCGGGCTGCAGGTGCTGGAGCCCAAGAACACCGGACACAGACAAGTGAAAAACAACAACCGTCAGCGCTGTCACCGCGGCTCCAGGCTGCGGAGGGGAGGCTCAGCTTGCGTCGGGGCCGCGCCCCCGAGCTCGTAAACACCTAAGCCAGCGAGTAGACACCTAAGCCACCTAAGCCAATGGAAGACCTTCCTACCTACTAGATGACTGTGGCTTCTGCCGCGATTTAAATTCTCCGGAATTCGAATCCTTCCCCATGGCTCTCCACATCCCGCCCACCTGGGCCCCGCCCTGCTGACTCGAAACTCGCGCAGGCGCTGAGAGGGGCGCGAAGTGCCTTTGGGGATTGGTAGTTTTTGCCAGGGCGTCTCAGCTCAGGAAAGGAAGGAAAGAAAGGCTCCAGGGACTACAAGGCCCGGCGTCCTCCAAGTTGGGTAGGCGGTGAGAAGGGTGGTGGGGAATAAGCCGGGTTTTTAAATAATAATTCTGAGGCGGTGTGATGGGGGAATCCCCCAATTGCGTCATCAGTAGGCGTGAGAGGCGGGACTCCGTAGGCTGGGGCCGGGCTCTTAGAGGACAGGCGTAGCCGCCGGAGCCTTTGCGCTACTCCTGCGGTGTTTTTCCCGAGGCCTGGGTTTGCCCCGCGCGTGTCTGTGGAGGGCGGAAACAGCGGACGGGTCAGACTCCTGGAGAAGAGGCCTAATCCTCGCCTACCATGTCTGGGGGCTTCGAGCTGCAGCCGCTGGACGGCGGTCCCCGGGTGGCCCTGGCGTCCGGGGAGACTGTGGTTGGCCGCGGGCCGCTGCTAGGAGTAAGTGTGGTCAGGGGCTCCTGAGGACTGCTTCCAGTCTTGGCCCGATTCCCCACAGCACCGGTCCCCCTGTCTTCATTTTAAAAAGTTTGGGGCCGCACGTTTTTCAGTCACCTTTAAGCAATTCATAAACGTTTCTTTATGTTGCTTTTAAAACACCAGGGGTTGGCAAACTAGAGTCTGGGGGCCACATCCAGCCTGTTTTTGCATGACCCCATGAACTAAGAATGATTCTTAAATTCTAAAATGTAAAATGTAAACAAGAAACCTACTAATTTTTCAGGGAGAATAGTTGCTCCAAGGGTTGAGGATATTGCGACGTGTCCTGCAAAGCCTAAAATATTTACAGTAGTGTCTGGCCCTTTACAGAGAAGTTTACCGAACTGTGATATTATGTCCTCCAGGCTAATTTCTTTTAAGCTTTGGTCTCCTTTGCAGGGCTGTGTGGATCTTAACTTGTTTATTTATATTATTTATTATTTACAGTAAAATGAGTAACCCTTAATAAGTAATGTGTATAGCATTCAAGTCATTGATCTAGGTAAAGGAGACTTCACCTACCTATACCAACATCTCTGTTTCAAAACTCTATCAGTTAAGTGTTTTTATTATTCTCATTGTTCAGTTGAGAAAATTCAGCCGTACATGCGTTAAAGTCCGTACATAACATTTTGGACACATAATCCCACAAAGCTAAATATGCTCTACCTTCTTTGGGAGGTTTAGGAATGAGAACATTTGCGTATTGCATTCTGGAATTCTGTAGATCTCTTCTTAAGAACATCTAGTTTTTTGTGTGTGTGTTTTTTTTCTTTAACATTCAGCATTTCTTATTTAGTGCTCACTCCGTAGAACATTTTTTAGATCCTAGCACTGTGGGGCACACAAAGACGATTGGAACGTGGATCTTTACCCTAGGAGTTTTCTCTTGGGACTGGAGAGACAGATATGTGTCAGTGAGTTAACACCAACCAGTAAGGAGTGTGTACTGTTATCCTGGTTAACTTCCAGAATCTATATGGAGCCATTGGCACTTGCCTTAGGTCCCTTCTGAGAGCAGGGAAAGGAGTGGTAGTTTAAGACTGTATTATGGAAGTTGGTACTAAAGGGGTGTGTGTGTGTGTGTGTACATGTACCTGAACATGCACATGTGTATGTAGCAAGGTTATTGAGGAAGTAGATGGTCCCTTGCTGTTCTTTTTTTTTTTGTTTTTTTAACTGGACAAGTGATTATTTAAATGTTTAAGTAACATCATTTCTACTTTTTTCCCGTTAATTAGCCTATACAAACACCAGAAGGAACTGTCTGGAGGCTTTTTTTTTCTTTTTTTCTTTTGAATGCATAAGTTAGAAACTTAGAGTATGTGCTTTGTCTAGTAATCATATGTCTGATGACTAATGAGTTTTGACTTGCTTAAGAAGTTGTCACCAGTAGACTACTGTGAGTCAGATTAAAAGATGGATGGATTTAGGCCCCTGTTTTAGAAACATGGCAACAGATGGCGAACCCTTTCATTATTTGTAGCTTGTTCTTTGGATTGTCTACTTGCTAATGTGAGATGAGCGTATTTGGTATCTGTTTTTAAAAATGGTAAGGAGTAAAAGCTGGGCAATTATCTGGTCAAGATTTTGCTTTTCCATTTGAAATAATATTCAGTGATGAGATTCTGTTGTCAAGGTTGGCAGATATCAGAAGTGGTTATGAATGACATCCTAAGTGTATTGAAGGAAAATTTGGAAAACAAAGAAATAACCTTGTGGTTTTTTGATTTTCGAGCTAACAGATGCACTCATTTCTTCTCTTTAATAGTTAAAACACAACATAAGGGCTTCTGTTTCCAACAACAGCAATTCCAGTGAGATTCATTTTTATATTGTGAGAGAGTGAAGACTGAATTCTAAGTGGAAAACTCAGGAAGTTCGCTGTAAATTGGTATACGTTGGAAACGATTAGTATGAATTAGGATGGTTTTGAACTTTCTTACTTAATTGGCCATGTTTTTCTGAGACAAGCTTTGTAAACCTTGATGGTCACACAAACATAAAGGTTTATAATCCCACTGTGTAAAACAGTCTTGGTAGTAAAACGGTTTGACAATGAGAATGTTTTTATATTATTACATATAATATAATAGGAAAACACAGCAGAGAAACCTGTCACAGAGAACAAAGCACAGTGAGATTTAATCTTTCTTGTGCCCTTTGCTTTCATGTGAGTCATCAGCGAACCCCAGGTCTTTGTTTACTAGATTTTGATTTTGCTCTAAGATTGGCATCAGAAGGTTTACAGCAGGATTAATCTTCAGAGAACTTCAGAGTTAACCAATCCAAAAGATTACATATTGTATGATTCCATTTATATAGCGTTATTAAAATTGCAAAGTTACAAAAATGGAGAACAGATTAGTGGTTGCCAAAGGTTAAAAAATTAGGCAGCAGGGCAGAAGGGAATAAATATGGCTATGAAATAACAACATGAGGGATATTTGTGGTGATGGAAATGTGCTTTGTCTGCACTGTGTCAATATCAATATCTTTGGTTGATATATTGTACTATAGTTTTGTAACATGTTACCACTGGGGAAACTGGATAAATGGTACAAGCGATCTTTCTATATTGTATCTTTCAACTATGTGTGAATCTACCATTATCTTAAGAAATTTAATTTAAAATGGTTTTACAGTACAGCACGTCAAGCACTGTTAGGGCAAATAATTTCCTTTATGGTTTTCTTTGATTAAAGCTATTACACTCTTAAATGAAATATACTATTTCTGATTTCAAATTTTTCTTATTTTGTTTTGACAACAGGGATTATATGACACATTTCTTTATGATCGATTTTTCTTCTAGGGAACAAGATAACGCAAGATATGTAGTGAGACTTTCTCAATGTTGATGTAATTAAATTGACTGCTTCGATTAAAAAGAGAAGAAACCCCAGTTGAGGGAACAGAGAAGGTCATAGACTTCATATAGACTCTTCAGGTGACATCAGTTTGCCACTTCCAAAAATGTTATAAACGTTCTACAAAGTTCACGCAAAGTAACCATTCCCGGACCTGGCAGCCCAAGAGTTTAACTGCTTATTGCAGAGTCCTCCTGGCTGGCCTGGAATGCTCTTCCTACCTGCTCCAACACAAGTTTTTTCCCTGACATTTCTTTTATTTCTAGATTTGTCCTTAACTCGTTTTAATTATTTAGCCTACAACCAGTGCCTAGTACATAGTAGGCCTTTAACACATGATTTCTTCTTTCCATTCCTGCATCTCAGCCTCTCATTCACTCTACCCTCAAAAGGAACCTACTTGTGACTTAGATATGAAAAAGGGTTTCATTGGGTTTCAAAGTGAATTTAAATATAGTAAAGATGAAGTCTTACCAACTTCTAACCTTAGGGAGTAACATTCATAATGAATTAAGTGTTAACATTTTTTCTATTTGTTGATTGATAATTCACCAAATTCAGGAAATAGTTGATGAACATGTACTATGGTTGGGTGGGAGGAAGTATAGGAGAAATAAAGATGAATGAGAAACAAATCTTTACTCTCAAAAACTTACAGTTTTGGGTTTGAGAGACAAATAAGAATTAATAACTAAACAAAGCTACAGCCTCTCAATGGGGACTGGAGCCAGGCTGACACTCGGAGTGAGTGAAGTGGGAGCTAAGAAGAGAAATAGCACAGGGACAATAATAAATGACAGCAGTTCTACCTCAGTGTTGGGAAAGCCACACAGCGAGGGTCTCTGTGCAATCCCTGCTACTTCTCCTATTCCCATCTGGTAAGTGTCATATCGTTTTTTTAAGAATAGTAAGAAATTTGAATTTTTAGATATAATTCCTGATTTTTAAAATGTCACATTTAATGAAAAGTTTTGGTTAAATACCATGAGCCTGTTGACAAAAAGAGTTAAATTCTATAAACTATTTCAAGAGATTTATTCTGAGGCAAATATGAGTGACCATGGGCCGTGACACACCCCTCAGGAGTCCTGAAAACATGTGTCCAAGGTGGTTAGGGTACAGCTTGGTTTTCTATATTTTAGGAAGGCATGAGACAGACATTTAGGAAATATATTGGTTTTGTTCAGAAAGGTGGGACAACTTAATATGGGGGATGGGGCTGGTGCGGGGAGCTTCCAGGCTATAGGTAAATTTAAACATTTTCTGGTTGAGGTTGAGTTTATCTGAAGACCTGAGGTCAAAGGAAATGTTTAGGTTAAGATAAAGGATTATGGAGACCAAGTTTTGTTATGCAGAGCTTTCAGATAGCAAACTTTAGAGAAAGCAGGTTGTAAAAGTTGCTTATCAGACTTGAAAGGGTACCTGGCTCTTAGTT